CGATTATTGTGAATAGCAAAACTAAAACACGGTAACATTAACAAAGCAAGCTAAAAAGAAATGTTCTGAACAACCAAGATTTTAATAAATCACCTTTAATCAGTACACGTGATTCTTTAGTTGTGAAATGGGAAGGGGGGGGGGGCTAAAAAGAGAGGGAGGGCTTAACAAATTTCTTAATTTTAAAATTTCTTATTAGAGAGGGGGGCATATTTGAGAGGGGGGGCTAAATAGAGGATTTGCGGTTCTTAAGTTCTGAGTTCTCTGTTGCTCAGGGCTAGCTTCGATTTTGTGCAGAATATTCGTGTGTTCCAGTAAACGTCCATGGAATTTCAAAGTGTTTGTATTGTTGAAGTTGTGCATTCTTTAATCAATTTACCGTTGGTATTTGTGAATATGTAGACACTAATACGGGGCTTAACCTGAGCAAATGRGTCTGTGATCAAGAAACACAGCGGTCAATTGAAACTCGAAAATGGTCTATAGGGATCCGAAGAGCACAAGAGAAGGAAACTTATGTTTCTGTCCCGGCTCTGATATAAAAACACGGTTGACAGCCAATTAGTGCGCTTTATACATGTATCTCAAATATACGATATTCATTTACAACTGCGCCCAAACCATTTAACAGAAATTGTTCTCATATTATATATCTTTAGACTCGAATTTAGAGTTTCCATCGCTGTATAATAGGTCGAGTGGTTCTCAGACAAAAATCAATAATTAAGTTCTCACCTTAATCTGATGAATTAGCCATTAATTCCGAGGTTAAAAGTCCTTTTTTTCACGAGGGTAGCACTTAATAGCCAGTGGCTAACAAACCTGTGGCCCTCATTCCATGATCGAATTGGAATTTAGGAGTTGATTTTTGCGGAGGGAGGAAAACCGGATAACCCGGAAAACCCTCGAAGCACATGAGAGAACCAACTACTCACATACGAAACCGTGCATGTCGGGACACGAACCCGGCGGCACTCTAGCTCGGGTCGCATTGGTGTGAGGTTAGCGCTCACACCTCTACGCCACCCGTGCTTCCCAAATAAAAGACTGGGTCGAGTCGGATTTGCATTGCATCGTGGGACTGTTTCAGGGGACAAAATAGTCGCCATCTTGGAAATACGTCCGCTAAAACAAAATGCACTGCAATAGACAGTCACTGCAATACCAACTCGACCTCAACCTCATACGAACGTTATTTTCAGACCATTGATAACCCTGATGTGATGAAACCACTGACTTTGACCTATAAGAATAAAGCACTTGAGGTTATCGTCAACGATGTATTAAGGTAAGTCATTTTTGAGCCTGAAAAAAAAATTAAGATGATCTCTTTGATCTCTAGTTGTTTTACGAGAGGCTAGAAGAGAGTCTATAAAATTGGGTCATTTTTGTCCCCCACCCCACCCCCCTGTAGGTCGAAAACATTAGCTTTTCTTGTCACTCCTTTCTGCTTGTCGCCTCACTAGCAGGGACTCCGAAGCAAATATTTGGCTAACATTAATGACTGGAAGACTAAAATATGGGTTGTTTCGGAAGCCCGGGTCTCGTAGCGGTCAGAACACCCGCCTCTCACAAATGTGACGCTCGGGTTCGGGTCCCGGACTCGGTGTCGTATGTGAGTAGAATTTACAGTTGGTTTTCACCTGTGCTTCGAGGGGTTTTTCTCCGGATTCTCCGGTTTCCTCCCTACACAAAAAATGAACCTCTAAATTCCAATTCGATGTTAGGAGATATTGTCGATAGGGTTAACTTTATATCTCCTTTCCCACTGTAATGCGAATAAATTGGGAATACATGTTTACCTATTTAAAGATGTTGTACGATAGAGATGGCAACCATTTATGACAGTAGACAGAACAATAGAGCCTTTAATTTCCATGGGAAACTGAATTCTCGCCTCATGTAAGGGAATCAAGAATCCGGAATCCACGACATGTTAGGTTTTTGAATCCGGAATCCAGCACTCTGGAATCCGGAATCAAGGCCTTAGAATCCGGAATTCAGTTTATAATGGAATCCGGAATCAAACCTTTTGGAATCCGGAATCAAACCTTTTGGAATCCGGAATCCGCTACTTTGAAATTCAAAGTATATACACTCAAATGCTATGGTCTCGACCTAGAGTGAACCGATGTAGCCCCTCCCCCAATGTGTAATATGTCCACCAAGAATATCTGTCATCGGATGCTGATTTAATTGATAGACGATTCAAATATAATTTTCAGAGAGAGTATCTGAAATTTAACGATATGGAATCCGGAATCCGCAATGCAAAAGTTTTGGAATTCGTAATCCAGAGTCTCGGAATCCGGAATCCAGCTCTTGGAATCCGGAATCCACCATAAGTCCGGATTCCCTTACATGGGGCGAGAATTCTCCTCCTGTAATGGCTGCCATCACGTGATAGTTGTTTTTTTTTTTTGTTGGACTAGTAGTTCCCGTAGCCCAGTCCCTTCTCTTCCTTGGACTAAAGTATCCCTTATTACTAGTGAAAATACTCTTAATGTTTCCTTTTCATACTTAGTCAATGTGAAGAGAACAAAGCACCTTGGACTGTACTTAAGATGGATAATCTCTTCAATCTTTCATCGATACAAAACTACAGAGATGTATGTACTACTTATAAACACAACAGACCTATGGGATATTCGTTCGTTCGTTCGTTCGTTCGTTCGTTCGTTCGTTCGTTCGTTCGTTCTTTCTTTCTTTCGCTATTTCGTTTGTTTGTTTGTTTGTCCCTTCAACTACAGAGATGTATGCACTACTCTGTCTATAATTTATTTCTTTCTTTCTTTCTCCACAGAAAATTCCCGATTTGGATGAAGTCTTTAAAGACATAAACAAGACTGTTTCAGACACGTCTGTGTTGACAGACAAAGCAAAGAAAAGCATCAACGACTCGCTTGATGCTGGAGTGCAGAATATCAACTTCACTGAATACTCGCAACAGGTAGGAGTCTCTCTAGTGGGACGGTACGTATTATGGGTGTCATGTGCTGCTACGGCGCTGTCCCGTCTCACCGTTGTCCCGTCTCACCGCTGTCCCGCCTCACCGCTGTGTAGGTTATGGCGTCCCTGGGGACACGGATTCGATTCTCAACTGGGCCGCATATTTTTGGGGTGCATGCATATTATGTCATAGCCTCCCTGTTGGAATTGGTTGAAGATGATAAAACATTCCACATTAGCTTCTCTTGTTAGATCAACCAACATGGCGGTTGTTTCATTGTTATTTATATCTCAAGGAAATTTAAACATGTGGAATTTGTTTGATGTTGTTCTGTCACTTACCACGAAGCTCCACGAGGGTTTTTCTTCAGGTTCTCTGGTTTTCCTTCCTTTGTAAAAAATCGACTTGTGATTTGAATGTATTGTGTTGTAAATAACGTAAGTAGTTTGACCTACAAAAATAAAGCAGTTGAAGTGTTCTTTAACAATATGTAAGTCAATTTTGAGCCTGCAAAGAAAATGATGATGATGAGAGGCTAGAAAAGACTCTTTAAAAATGGGGCATTTTTGTATGTATTTTGATATATTCTAAAAATATTGCCACCAGAACAAAGTCGCGTACGAAAGAAAAAAGACTTAAAGATTTTCAACATCTTCGACGGCGACGTCAACCGGAAAAGTGAATAACTTCTCTTTGGGGTTCTGTTCACTGGAGATTTCATTCAAAACATTGTCAGTAAAGTCAACTCATCCACAAGGAAGACAGACTTTGAAGACGCCCGGACCCTAAAGTGAAGTTATTTACACTTCCGGTTGAAGTCGCCTTCATAGATTTTGCAAATCTTAAAGTCCCTAATGAATGGGAGGGAGGGAGGGAGGGAGGGAGGAAAATCCAGCTCCCTCGTGTATCCCTCGGGCTAATGATTTAAGAACTTGAGTTTTCTTTTTTTAGACTGATAAAGGAATAGTCCAAGTATCCCTGACCAGCTTTGCTGAGAATATCACAAGAGTAGCCAAAAAGACAACAGGGGTAAGTCATGTGACCATATGTTTGGACTTGCTAAAGAGATATTTAACCAACTAATTGTTATCGTCCCCGTCCACTTTGTATAATCAATAGAATACTCATAAAGGACTTTGTGATTTGATTTTATCTCATTCTCGTTCCCAGAGCCTGCGCTTTAAAAATCGCCAGACAGTGGAAGGCAAAGCCCTTCCGCTGGTTGACAAAAGCGCAGGCTCTGGGAGCGAGAATGAATTTTATCATCAAATGATTCACTTGGGCTCCCTATGCCCCAAGTGTCACCGGGCATGATAAACTCATTACCCTACAGCTCATAGATATCGTTTTCCCGTAGAACGTAAAGACCAAGCTACAAGGCACAGCAGACACGTTGGTGAACTTCGACACTAACACTGTACAACCAGCACAACAGAAATCAGTAAGAACATTAATTTTTTTCATTCATTATTGGAAATTCATTACCAATGTGACCCGGGTTCAAGTCCTAACGTTATCGGTGTCGTATGTGAGTAGAGTTGTTTGTTAGTTCTCTCCTGTGCTTCAAGAGTTTTTCTCCATGTTCTCCGGTTTTCCTCCCTCCTCAAAAATCAACTACTAAATTCCAATAGACCCTCTTTTCGAGTTCCAAATTACCGCTGTGTTTCTTGATTACAGACTCATTTACTCAGGGTTAGCCTCGATTTTGTGAAGAATATTTAAGGTATTCCAGTCAAGTCCGTCAAGTTTCAAAGTGTTCGTATTGTTGAAGTTGTGCATTCTTTACTTTACCGTTGGTATTTGCGAGTAATTAGACGCTGATACGAGGCTAAGCCTGACATCGGGTAGAATTCTATTGTTCTATGCGACATGAACTTACAGTTGAGAGATTTTCAAAGATCGGTATAATTTCACGAATACATTATAGGATATGCATCATTAACTTATTTTCCGTTAACACTGATTGGCTAGACCAAAGACAAAGAACTGTCAAACGCAAATGATTGACAGCATTGAACTCCCTTGAGTCATATCAGGGTAAACATTTTGATTGACATCACTTGATACATAGTTAATATTAACTATTCTTGATATGACCAGGAAAAATTATTCGAATGATAGTTAAAGTCTCAATGAGTGATCACAGGAATGACTTGTTGTGTTTTTCTTGACAACCGATCGGAAGTCGAGAAGTAAACTAAAGCGACTTTATTTGGGTTAAAGTTAACCATTTCCCATATGAAAACTTTTCGACTTCTTAAGTGATTGTAGAAATATGAGCTAAATCATCAACTCTTTGAAAAATCTTCATACTTCAGTTCGTTCATATAGGCAAACTTTAAATAGCATTTAATGGCAAAGATATGCGATTTTCACGTTATTTTTTTCGGATCTTGCAAGTGGAACTCCAGTTCTACAAAAGCCGTATGGAAACTTTTTAAGTTAAGTGCTTCTTCATGCCAGAAATAAGCGTTTTTGATGACAACTACGGGCATTTTGGCCTATTTTCTTTGTAAATGAGCGCGAGCAGTCGAGCTGAACATTTGAATTTGGCGCTTTTGAGCTCATGAATGTCCCGGATGTGACGCCCCATTCTGCCCGATGAGTAAATGAGTCTGTAATCAAGAAACACAGCGGTAATTTGGAACTCGAAACTGGACTATTCGATCTTTGAGCTTTCACCTAGTTGAAGTCTAGTTGTGATTGTCCCACGCTGTGATAAAACAGCTAAAGCTTGATACATTTTTTTTAGATTTATCAACTAACTAAAGAAATGAGACTCATTCATCCCCATAAGATGATTTGTCATTCTTTTAGAATCAATGAAATAAACTTGGGCACTCGGCTAATTCAGACAATTTTGTGAAGAGATTCTAGCTAAAATAGATTCATTTGAAGCCCTAGTAAGCAGACGTACAATGACTGATAGTGCAGTTTTCGTATGACTGTGAAAAAATCACGGCACGAACACGGCCATGACACGGCAAGGGATACGCCAGACCAATCACATTGCACGAGAATTTACTCTCCATCCAATCAAATACCCGGAACACGGCATAAACACGGCGCGGACACGGTCACGCCAAGATCACGGCACTTTTAGACCAATCATATTGCGCGTGAAAAATCAGCCAATTAAAATTCTAGGAAGTATCACGGTCATGTCACTGCACGTCACGCTTACGGCACTGAGCTTTTCACAGTCATACGAAAACTGCACTATATACACCTATTTAAAAAACCGCTGTCTGAGACACGGAGTATAGCTCGCTGCAAATTGTAACATATTAACGGCCCCAATTCAAAATAACAAATCCAGGATCCCTTAACTTCCTACCTTCTTTATGACTTTGCAACTCAAGACTAAACCACAATCAAACAGAGAAATTAATTAGTGGTTTTGAACCATTTACAAGAGAGTAAAAAAGACTTAAAGATGGCGGACTTGACACCACAAACATGGCGGTGACGATTTACCGAATGAGAAATATGGGACTCTAATGATTGTTAGCTGCACGGCTGCTAATAGCGTCGTAGTATGTAGCCCGTAAAGTCCTCCACTGGTCATAAATGTAAAGCGCATTGAGACAATGTGAAATGCGCTATATTCTACTCTTCCCAGTAGACCGAGGTAGTTGTGATTTTTTAATCGCCTTCGTAGCGTCTGTTATGTTATCCGCAAGTACATTTCTAATCGACCACGTGATGCCAATGTTGTACCACGTGGACATGTTTTTTACACCACGTGGTCAAAATTCAGTCAAGTTTTAATCACGTGGTGTAAAAAACTTGTCCTCGTGGTACAACATTGGCATCACGTGGTCGATTTGAAATGTACTTGCAGATAACATAACAGACGCTACGAAGGCGATTAAAAAATCACAACTACCTCGGTCTACTGGGAAGAGTAGTAAAAACTTACCAATTTAAGAATGAAATATGTGGTATATGAAAGAATTATACTTTCTTGTGTTCCAGGAACGTCTTAAAAAACTTGTTAATAAACTTCAGATTGAAGCCAACAACATTGTGGTAAGTTTGTCACACTTAATCAAGGGCCCATAAGGGACAGAAAGGGACTCTTGCGACTGTCCTTCACATATCTTAATTTATGGAAATTTATTTTAAGATATGCGGACGCCTTTTGAATAACTTCCGCTTCAAACGGCTGATAAATCAACTGCAGGATTCAAAGACAGTCGATTTTTAAGCTTTTGAATTATTTAAAAATACTAGTTTCTAATTAGAACATCAGAAATCTTTGAAGCCTGCCAATTTGGAAAGGGATACTGATAGGAATAATGATACTGATAAGACGGTCATCTTGAATTATCGGATGCCGCGAGAGAACAAACGTAGAAACATTATAATGCATAGAGTGGCGAATAATTTAATTTAAAGTCTTGGTTTTTAACATATTGTTCCAACTGACAGGGCAGAAAAACGGGTTCTACTTTCGACGTTTATGCGTTAATAAGCTTTATATTTCATAAACAGGCTCTTTTGGGGCTGATTAACAAAATACCAAAATTTGGGGAAATTTAAGGAATGCGTTTTTGAGATATAACGCCCTGAACGTTGAGAGAGATGATATTTTGATCAGCACAAAAACTAACATTTTCGCTAATGCCTCGAAAGTAGACTTGCTCGAGGTTAGCAGAATTTTGTGAAAAGTTTAATGCACAAGAGACACGAATGAAACACTAAACGTTTTTTAGCATGAATGAGAGATAAAGWAAAAAATTGCGAAAGTAGCAGCCTTGTCGTTTTTCTGCTCTGTCGTTCCAAATTCAATTGCTTTTTAGATTAAAGTTAGTATATAAAAGACTCTTTTAAAAAGACATCGTGACGGCTGTGCAGTCTAGAAAATCACTTTTCCAATGACTTGCTTCCTATGCATTCCATAATATCTTACTGCGGTTTTCCATATTCTGGAAACTCCAACATTCCAACGGCTTGTCGTGAAATTGGTTTTTCACTGCCGCAATTCAAGAACATAAAAGGTACCGACTGATTATTTTTGATTGACGGCAGCGAAAAACCAAATTTCAACGTGCAGCTTGAAACTACCGAGTTGCAGAATATAGAAAACCGCAGTAATACAGCAATAKAATTCAAGATGGCCGCCGTGCACGGTAATAGTAAGGCCAATTTTACTATAGACCCCTCGCATGTGACGTCAAGACAGCTCGATCTGGGGGACAAAACACTAAAGAATTCCAATTTTTCTGGTCCTATGCTTCCAAAAATCTGATGCATGGACGCAAAGATTTCAATAGATCGGACAAGCAGCAGCAACAAGGCAAGACTTTATTGTTAAATATAAGTTTTTTCTTTCTTGTTTAGAATGGTGTGGACAAAATTGGTAATGATTTAGTTAAGATTGAGAAATTTATCGTAGATGACGCCGTAAGAATAGCAGTACAGGTACGTACTATACGCCATTAATGGTTCTGTCATGATTTATAAAATGTTATTGAACCCTGAAACAACCTCTGGGCTGATCTAAGTCAGGGCACGGCTAACTCACAGATAGAACCCGGAAACAATATAAGTCAGATATAAGTCAGNAACCCTGAAACAACCTCTGGGCTGATCTAAGTCAGGGCATGGCTAACTCATAGATCAAACCCTGAAACAACCTCTGGGCTGATCTAAGTCAGGGCACGGCTACCTCACAGATTGAACCTTTAACAACCTCTGGGCTGATCTAAGTCAGGGCACGGCTAACTCGCAGAGAGAATAAAGGTAGACTCCTAACAAACTCGAACTGAACAACACCGAACACCAGACTATACTACCACCATGTTTCCCTTCATACTGGGTTGCCTGTGGCAGTCCAGTCTAAAAATGCGTTGCGTTTCTCCGTATTTTTCTGGGTCAGTAAATGCCAAAATTGTGCAATAGTACCGACCTAGTGTTCTTCACGGCACTACCCAAGAATCCTTTGCGGATATATGATACCGATACTGTGTTAAGTGTGATTTATATTCAAGTGACAGTTGCCAATCAATGTCTAATTTATCAAAGTGATTGATTAGGGGCGGGGCTGCAATTCACGTGTCGAAAATTAATGTCTACGCATATTCTTTTTTTCGTTAGTTGCCAAAAATTCAAGGCTCAATGCAGGATTAGGAATTACTCGTGTGTATAAACTGACCAAGAAAGTTCAAGATGCCGTGAAAAGTCTTTCTTTTATTTGTGTACTCAAATTTTTAATTTAGCTTCTCAAAGCAAAAGCTCTAACTTAAACTATAGGAAAATAAGACTTCAAATCTTCCCGTGAGTGAACAAATTCCATTTCAATTTCCCGTGGTACTGATCGCCTTCACTTTGCTTTAAGTCATTTTTACTCTCCAGATTCTTTGCTTGAGATCTAATAATGCTAGCGCTATAAACGATTATAGAAAGCTTAAATAGGTTTGTTCGAGTTTTAAGTTTGGTTTGTGCTTTCGTGTGGATTGAGCTGGATTTTTAAAAATAGATGGAACTGCCGGCCATTTAATTGAAATTTTTACTCTTTGAAAATACTACAATGAAATACTTCTTTTCCCCCCAGGGATTTTCCTCTACTAGATTTCAATTTGACGGATTTGGGTAGACAAGAATAGGTTAGTCAAAATAGAAAAGTTTCACTATTCTATTTTCTATTACTTCAAATAAAAAATAAATAAATAAGAAAAAAA